AGGCATGATAGCACGTGCTGTGGTCGCAGCTACTTGGGAGGCTGAGGTGGGAGGACTGTTTGAACCTGGGAGATGGAGGTTGCAGTGAGCTGAGATCACACCACTGCATTCCAGCCTATGTGACGGAGTGAGACTCCATCTCAAAAAAAGAAAAAGAGTGTTGTCTCCCTCCTCCCATCCTACCACCCAGCCTGGAAGGATCCACTCTGCCAGCCTAGGGATCATCTCTGTCCTCCGGGAGGTATGGAGGGGCTGGCCCAGGAGTCAGGCAGGGCCAGGTGTGTTCACTGACCTACCAGCCACATGCAAGCAAGAGGTCATATGTGCCTGTCCTTTTCCCCTTCTCTTCTATCCCATGCCCAAATAAAAACCACCATCTACTGATTTTAATTCTAAGCACTTTATAGACATTACCCATTTAATCCCTTAGGAATTCATCCAAATAGTTTTATTATTATTGCTATTATCCCCAATTTACAGACAAGGAAATTGAGATTTAGGCAGTTAAAGTAATTTACCAAATCACGCAGCTAATGATGGGGAAAACCCAGTTCCTAATCTAGTCTGCTCAATTTCAAGGTCCTGCATCTAAGCACGCACAGCTCACCTGGGGCGTGAGCACAAGACGGTAACTAAGACCCAAAGGCTGTCTCCAGCTGCAGGGTCTTCTTTCAGGATGGAGTACCTTTGGACCACTGTCAGTCTCCCTGGGTTGGCAAGGACAGGAAAGGACTATACCCACTGCTGAGACTCAGAGTCCATCCAACTATGATATCATCTTTGTTACATGGTGAGGTGAGGACAGACCTTGGAAGAGGACCTGTGTCCGTCTGCCTGATCCTGAGCCCTTCTCCGGCCAGGCAAGTCCCCCTTGTCACGCAGCATCATTCACAAAGGAACACCAGCTTCACAGGGAGGCCACAGTCACTCCACTACCCTCCATGCAGACACAATTTGAAAGACTGTTTGCTTATTTTGTCTTAGAGAGTGGCCTTGCTGTGTCTTGCATAAATGCACATATGGGTATGTTTCTGCAGTGTTTTAAGTTGTCTCTCTATGCGCTACATATCCTTTGACATCCATGGACTTATCGTAGAAGCTCCCAGAAGTGAGGGCATAGTGATATACTTTAGAGCTGTGGTACAGGCCAGCTGGAAGGACCATCTGGATTACCCCCCTGGTTGGGAAATGAAATTGGAGAGGTAATGCAACCTGCCCAGTGATGCCCAGTATGTCAGTGGCAGAGCTGAGATTAGAGCCCCCTACTAGTTCCAGTGCCCAGAACCAGGTATTCCCTTTCAGAGAGGATCTGGGAGGTTCCTGGTAGAAATGACAATGGTGACAACAAGAATCCCAGCAGGGAGGGAAGAACAGAGGGGTCGTTTGCTTCTGGTTCTTGTATTCTCGGGGAGTGGATGCTGACTTGTTCCAGAGGGCTGTGTGGGAAATTTGGCTCTCCTTTCAAGCACTCCTTGGGGAGGCAGGAGACTGAGGAGCAGTGAAGGGGGCTGTGGGAGCAGACAGTGGCAGGGGGTACAGAGGGAGGAAGAGGAGTTGCAGAAAGGACGGCGGGATCTGGGGTCTCGGGTGGGGCAGGGGAGGAGGGCTGAGGAAAGCGAGGGCAGCTTTGGGTCTGGAGAAAGTGGGGGAGGCCTGTCTTGAGGTTGTTCCCACAGCAGGAGATCAGGCTGGGGCTGGAACTCAGGGGCCACACACACCCTCCAGTCACCCTGGCCTGCTTAGTTCTGAGAGCAGCCAGAAACCAATACCGTATTTATCTCTTTCTCCAAGGTAGGGGAAAAGCAAGTCAGAGCTCCAAGCTCTGGGGTTTTGCACACCCAGAAATTCCACTTCCAAGGACCTGACGGAGACTCTGAACCCCTTCCCTGGATGGCAGCCTCCCAGCTGAGCTCAAGCGGAACACACACTCACCTCCATGAAGGGCACAGCCCGACAGGAAACATCACCCAGTAGCCTCTGCTTGGTGATCTCATTGAAGATGACAATAGGGAGGCAGAAAAAGAGGACCAGAAAATCCCAGAGGGCCAGGCTGGCGAGGATGGAGTTCCAGGCACTCTTCAGGTAGTAGCTGTGCCACACGATGCACATGACCGACAGATTGCCCACGATGCCCACTGCAAATACCACCAGCGCCAGGAGCATGACGGCGTAGGCACTGTAGGAGCTCTCAGTCACCGGATATAGGGGATTCTGGATCTGCAGCCTCCGCCCCGGTGCCCCCGTCAGATTGCCCCTCAGCTCCTGCCCACTGCCTGGGGTGCCCCCATCCTTGTCGGGGTTAGGGCTGGTGGCGACCAAGGGCTTGGTGGGCTGCAGGCCAGCCGGGTGAATGGGCCGGGGGTACTCTGCCCACTCCTCAGGCACATATTGCTGCACGCCCTTGCCCTCCTCATCCTTAGTGCCCCTCTTGGATCGGCTCTGCTGTTCCTGGGTCTCGGCTCTGTGCCTCCCCAGGTGCAGGGGGTTACCCCCAGAGACCCTGCTTGGCCCCACAGCCAAAATCACAGCAAGAGAGACAGCCAGGGGCCACGGCCACCGCATGGCTGGACAAGCAGGAGGCAGCCACCCGGGAAGAGCAGGTGAGTGCAGGGGGCCCAAGAGCTGGGCTCCAGAGAGGCAGCTGGCTGGCTGGGTCCGCCTCCAGTCAGGCGTCTGGCATCGCCCGCCCTCCCTCCCAGCCTCCGGCCACGGCCCGGGCAGGGCCCTCTGCTGGACACATAGCACTCTTTGCTGCCCTCGCACGTCTCATCCTCCACGACGCCCGTTCTCAGGCCCCATAGCTTGTCAGGCTGTGGGGGCCTAAGAGGGCACCTGCTCCAGGCCCCTGAGACCAAGGAGGAAATGTGGCCTGCCTAGGATGACACAGGGAGGTGGGGCAGAATGGGAACTGGGACGAAGGTCTCCTGATTCTAAGGCAGCTCCTCCATTCAAAACTCTGCAATAACCACCACTGCCACTTACGGAACACTTACCAAGTCCTCACACTCAGCTGGTTTCTCGATTTACCCTTGACTAATCTCAGATCACAAATCTGAGGTTTGTAGAAGCCGGTCACTTGCCACACAGTTGATACAAGGCAGAGCAAGGCTCAGAACCCAGATCTGACTCCAGAGCCTTCTAATTTTTTTTTTTCTTCTTTTTTTTGAGACGGAGTTTCACTCTTGTCACCCAGGCTGGAGTGCAATGGCGCAATCTCAGCTCACTGCAACCTCCGCCTCCCGGGTTCTAGTGATTCTCCTGCCTCAGCCTCCTGAGTAGCTGGGATTATGGGCACCTGCCACCATACCTGGCTAATTTTTTTATTTTTAGTAAAGATGGTGTTTCACCATGTTGGCTAGGGTAGTCTCAAACTCCTGACCTTAGGTGATCCGCCTGCCTCGACCTCCCAAAGTGTTGGGATTACAAACATGAGCCACTGCACCCGGCCTAAAACACCATATTCTGAGCCAGACACAAGATCCATGGACATTTGCAATAATACATCTTTTTCCAGGCATTCAGAATACAAAAATGTAGCCAGGTGCGGTGGACCATGCCTGTAATCCCAGCACTTTGGGAGGCTGAGGAGGGCAGATCACAAGGTCAGGAGTTTGAGACCAGCCTGGCCAACATGGGCAAACCCCATCTCTACTAAAAATATAAAACTTAGCCAGGGGTGTTGGTGGGCGCCTCTAATCCCAGCTACTCGGGAGGCTGAAGCAGGAGTATCACTTGAACCCAGGAGTCGGAGGTTGCAGTGAGCTGAGATCACACCATTGCACTCCAGTCTAGGCAACAGAGCAAGATTCTGACCAAAAAGAAAAAAAAAAAAGAAAAATACAAAAATGTAGAAGATCTCTGCCACCAATGAGCTTTTGGTACAGAGAAGGAAATACATGCGTAAATTCAGCAACAGACCAAGACTCTGTTTCAAAAAAAAAGCCTGAGTGAAGTGGCTCATGCCAGTAATCCCAGCGCTTTAGGCAGATCACAAGGTCAGAAGTTTAAGACCAGCCTGGCCAACATGGTGAAACCTCATCTCTACTAAAAATACAAAAAAAAAAA